TAGATTCAACTGATGTCACAAAGTAAGCTATCGTTTTCTTTTTGAATGTGTTCATCATAGTATGTTTAAATAGGAAATGAGAGCAAGAGTAAAATGTCTGGGCTAAATTATTGTTTTAATGACTGCCTCATACGCTGTGTTGTTTAAAGTGTGCCGTCAAGGTGGTGCTAGTCACATTAACAAATCCTGATGCTGATACGAAGGACTCTGCCGGTAGGTGTTGGGCAGAGCGGTTGAGAAGCCACTAGGGATGTCAGCATTGCCTGTTAGGCTGCCTGGTTCGAATCCTAGCTTTTCTGTGGTTCCAGTTCCCTGCTAGCCTGCACTCTAGGGGTAAGGATGCGGGTCCCTGCCACCCATGCAGAACACACTGCATGAGTCTCAGACTTTGGCCTGGCTGAGCCCTGGCTGCTGCAGCCATCTGTGGAGTGAATGGGTGTGTGTAATACCTCTCTCCAACTCTGCCTTAAAAGTAAGTTTTGGGCCTGGCATGATAATCTAGTGGGTAAATCCTTACCTTACATCTACAAGGATCCCATATGGGCACCAGTTCACTCCACTTCCCTTCCCTTCCAGTTTCTTGCTTGTGAGCCAAAGCCTTGGGACCCTGTACCACATGGGAAACTTACAAGAAGCTCCTGGCTCAGTTCTGGGCGTTGCGGTTATTTGGGAAATGAACCAGCAGACAGAAGATCTTTCTGTCTCTGTAAATCTGACTTTCCAATAAAAATTAAAAAAAATGTTTAATACTTTTCAAAACTTGACAACAGAAGAACAATTCCTTGTTAAATAACTTTATTCTTTTTATTAGACATTGGGTGGTTTATTAATGCAAAAGAAAACAATGAGTTAATATGCAATAGCAAATGGATGTGGCAAGATGATTACAGGTTTGGGTTTTCTTAATACATGTAGATTATAGAGAAATGTGTGAAAATATTAAATCTTTAAATGCATTGGACATAATTATTTGAAAGGCAGAGTTAGGGAAAGAGATCTTCTATTGGCACATTCATTGTTCCAATGTCTGGATCAATTAAGGCCTGACCAAGCTTTGAAGATGCAGAGACCCAAGCACTTGGTCCATCTTCATGTGGTTTGCAGGTGCAGTCAGAGGTGACACAGCCAGAACTTGAACAGGTATGCCTATGGAGTATGTAGCCTCTGTCCAGTGCAGTTTAAGCCAGTTGCACAGGAAGCTAGGATACTTCTAACACAAGCTGAATGTAGTTCTTGCTCTCAGGTGTTATCCGGCACGTTGGAGATGCCTTGAAGGACCATGCGTCTAAGTCGAGAGGGAAGATTTGCACCATAGGAATCGCACCCTGGGGAATTGTGGAGAACCAAGAGGACCTGATTGGAAGAGATGTAAGTCCTGGGCTGGCCTGCCCTGCCCTACCCCACCCCATATTTAAAATGAATGGCACGGTACTCTTAGTCCCTAGCTCTGAAACATGAAAGTGATGCTAGGAATGGTTTATTGGGTGACTGAGTTTCAAAACTATCTAGAAAAGCCAGGAGAATTCTTACTGCTGAATGCTGAAGTCTTTACCCATCTTAACAAATCCTGCAAGCGTATTAGTATGGTTCTGTTATTACTGAGTAAAGCAGGTAACATACAGCCACATGAGCTGACTGTCTGCACCTGAGGGTCCCTGCAGCTTCACTTCTGAGGGTGTGCCTTGGCTAGCTCTGGACAGACAGTGCCAGCCTTCTGCGCCGTTCTTCTACTCGGCCTCAGTTTCCCAAAGCCTTGGGTGATGTGGGCACAGTGAGAACTTGGCTTCCCCCTAGGAGGGAATGACTCAAATCATTTGGGAAAATGACTAAATGTATCCATATCAGGGCTATCGCATAACATGGCAGAAATAATTTACCCAGAATACAGAAGGTAATGGATGAATTGTTATTATGTTTATAAAATGCTCATATTTCAAAATGGCATTGTGACTGCAGATGCAAGATCCCCTGCCTGGCACTTGCCACCCAGGAGTATATCTGGTCTCAATTCAATCTCTGCTAACTGTAAACTAACAAATAGGTTTGTTCAAACATGTGCGTATACGAAGGTGTCCAATACCAACAGTATGTATTAACACAAAAAAAACTTATTTTCAAAATGACTTCTGGATTATAATGTGTATAATTTATGGCTTCAGAATCTCTCATGGCAACATGAGTTGTCACTCTGCGTGTGGGGACAAAACAGTGACCCAAGGCAGCTGCAGGCAGGCCTGGTCTACTTTGTATTCCTGTTATTTGTTCAACTTGTAAATCTTACGTACGTTTTGTTCTCTTGCTGGTGTGGAAACATCAGTCCTGACACTCCCTCCTCCCACTGTTCTTCTTTCTCCTTTTCCTCCCGTCCCTTGTAAAGTCATGTCAATGACAAACATTTCCTGACACTCCTGTACCCAGTGGGCCAAGGCCTTTGTACTGTTCAAGTGGGAGCACCCTTCATCCCTGTTGCTGGTAATGTGGAAAGGCGGGCTCTGTGTCCCCAAAAGCCAGGTCGGCAGCAGGAGGCCACGGGAGCCGGACAACAGCAGGTTTGTAGAATACACAGAAAAACACATGATTTAAGTGTTGAGTAAATTTGTTTATCCAGAGAGACTGAACGCTGTTCTCTCAGGACTTAATATACATAACATTTCTTGCGTTCCGGTGTGATAACAATATTCTTTTTTTAAATTATTATTTATTAATTACATTGTGTTATGTGACAGTTTCATAGGCTCTGGGATTCCCCCAACCCCTCCTCACACCCTCCCCCCATGGTGGATTCCTCCACCTTGTTGCACTATCACAAATCAAATTCAGTTGAGAGTCTTTGCTTGGTATATGCCTGTAATAAAAGAGTGCAGCATGTAATTGTGCAGATACATTCAACGGTTTTTTGGGGGAGATCATCTCTGGTCTAGAGGTAAAGGTGGCAGCATATCCTCCTGATCAATAAAAAGCCCCAACATAACATCAAGATCAATTTACAACACTGTGGTATTAATAGTCATGGTATTGAATAATCCATATATTACAAGATGCCAGCTCTCAACCTCATCCTGTGACTTTCATTGACATTTTGGCTATAATGTCACTGTAAAATGGCTATAGGGTACTACTCAGCTGTCTGTCCTCATTTTAGTATTTAGCAGTGCATAGTGTTGAGCAAAATTCTGCTGTCTGGTTGTAAATTTCCCGTATTGTTCTCTGTCTACTCTGATTGTATTTGTTTGTTTTGGGGGAGGGGCTCTGGAATGACCCTGATGGTCATTGCCAGAGGATGGACCAGAGAAAGCTCCTCTCCCGAGTCCTGAAGGAAGTTTGCTGTGCTTCTGTGAGTACGGACTACTCAGGGCTCGTAGCTGTTGTTCTGATGACCTTCGGTCCTGCATGGAAGGATTTGGGCTTCCCAACGGGGGTGGGTGACCTCAGAGTCCTTGGCCTCCCAGAGCTCTGTTTGGCAGTTGAAATTTAGTCTTTGGTGCCTGTAGTGGTACTCTTTCTTGTAGATCCAGGGGAAAATTACCAATAGTAAATATGCTATTCATGGGTTATGGGTTTATGATACCTCACGAGTCTGGCTAAACAGGATGAATAGGTAAGTGACTGGAATTGTAGCAGTCACTGAGGAGAGGCCTGAGCGAACTGGAACTACACAGTAAGTCTTTCTTTCTGTCTTTTTGTCTGCTTCTTTCTTTCTGACGGGTTCGTTCTGTCTGGTTCTGTCTTTCTCTCTGGTTCTGTCTTTCTGACTGGTAGCAGTCACTGAGGAGAGGCCTGAGTGAACTGGAACTACACAGTAAGTCTTTCTTTCTGACTGGTAGCAGTCACTGAGGAGAGTTCTTTCTTTCTTTTCTTTCTTTTCTTTCTTTCTTTCTTTCTTTCTTTCTTTCTTCTTTCTCTCTCTCTCTCTCTTTCTTCCTTCCTTCCTTCCTTCAGCTCCTTACCTGTCACTTTAGCTTCGCAACACCTCCACCTCCAGTGCAGACTTTTGTAGCCACTTGAACATTGGACCCGAAATCTTCCCCCCCGCTCCATGTCCATGTCATTTCCCACTGCAAATAAAACTAAATCTTAAAAACAAAACATTGCCAATAGAGTATCTGTGAAGTTTTCATCCTGAGGTTCTCACATAACCCTTTCATGGAAATGGTACCCAGGGTCAGCGTGCAGCTGAACTCTGTGCAGAGTGAAACAACCCATAGTGAGGATGGATGCTGTCCTCTTTCCCTTTTTATTGAAACGCCTGGTCAGCATCCTTCCCTGGGACACCAGGCTGTTGTGCAGGTGGCCGTACCATCGCTTAACTGACTCCATGACTTTTCTATCAATCCTGCCAACAGGAGGGGGGTGTGGAGGATCCCAGTGGAACAGGGAACAAATGCCAGCTAATACATCAAGAAGGGAACAGAGGTCATGGAGCTGTGATGCCTCCTGAGTCCAGAGCAGATTGAGTATGAGACCTCAGGGAAGCTCAGCCTACAAACCTGCATGAGAACATGACCTCAACACCTATCAGTCTGAACAGCCAGCATGAGCAGTTCAGGTGCTCATGTACCACTCTCACTTCAGGTCTCTAAGGAGTTAGGATGCCTAGGAGGATCGCTCAGTCTCTTCCCAGGACTTACAGGTTGCAGGATAAGTACTTCTTCCACCTTCACAACATAGCAGCAGCTCCCATCTTCCTGGCCCGGTGTGGTAAGTCACACTGCCACTTTTTCCTGCTTCCTATTGGAAGAGAGTCGACGGCTGCAACTAGACTAAGGGGAGACATTCAAAGAATGTAACACCACAGTAAGCTGCTCAGAACTTGTGCTTTGTGCCACTGCCAGCAAGGGATGGCACCCTCAGCATAGACAGGTGATGTGGGCTGTTTCAGTAAACAGCAAGTGAGGACCTTCTGCTGTGAGACTCCAGTTCAAATGCTTTCTCCTGTGGCTGTGAATGGCAGTCACACGGCTAAGATAGCCGGGCGCCGTGTGACACTGGCCAGGTGCATCTGTGGTGTCTGAGGTTTCGTACGCAGGGAGGCAGCACCTACCTCCTGCAGACCTTGCTCTACTCTTCCACTTGCAGCTACATTTATCCAAATGGGCTTCGGCCTGTTTAGGATTACAAGGGAAGCCACAGACTTTGTTGTCCCTAATCCATTCTCTATATTGCCCGCTCTGTCCCCCTCCCCTCCCCCTCAAAAAAGCTATTTTAAGATGTGTGTGGAGGCAAAGTTGGCTAAGATACCACATCTCTGAGCCCCCATGGTTTTTCCAGATTTAGAATAAGCTTCCAGCAGCTTTATAAATTTTGTATCACAGTGCCTGGCATGTGATCACTGCGAAGTGAATGCTCATCTTCTTTGAGCCTAAGTTAAAAGCTTGATGTCATCCGGAGGGAAAAAGATGACCACTTGGCCCACACGTGCCCAACCCTGCTGCTTGCCTGGGCTGTGTCCAATACATCTGGGATCCCAGAGGTCTCGGACTCATCATGTAACGACTCAAGCCACTTCAAGTCTCTGCTAAAGGAATCCCAAGGGACCAAACTGTCCTTACCGTACATGAATGACAGGCAGGCATGAAGTCGCTTCGTTTTTCATGTAGTTGCTGTGACTGGAGGGTAGCTCTTCTGTATTAGCTTAAAAAGAACAGACAGAGTTTGGACACACAGAAGGTTTAAATTCCATTTAGAGGCAAGGGAAGCTTCAGCATCAGTGCGCAGTCATTGGTCAGGGTCGTTGTCAAGACCCTCGCTTCCTTCTGCTTTCAGCATCTGTATGTCTGAGCCTCAAGCTTTACCAACACTGAGGCAGTACTAAGCAGTGTTCAGTCACTCATTTACTCTTGAGCAGTGGCCCATGAGGCTCAGAGCACACTGAGGACCTAGTGCTTATTTCTAAGGTTTCCCCTCATTAGCAGACAGCTGGGTGAGTCTGTCATGAAAACTCACCTGAAAATGAAGACTTCTCCTTTCCCAACAAAGGGTAATTATAAGAAAAACACACAATTATCTGAATGTCTCCTCATTTCTTGCATTGGTGGTCCCTAACCGAAGCATCCTAAATTCCTAGGAGAGACAACAATGGGTACTCTTAGACATCAACAGTTCCGGCAGGGAAGTCAGGCTGGGACACATAATGCAGCCATCCAATACAGCCCCAGTTGGAGGTGTATCATAATCATTTTCACTCAGTGCACAAACATACCTCCAACTGGCTGTCCTCTTTTTATAGATTATCCCAGAAATCCTGTCAGAAAAATTCATTTGTATTTGTTATAAAAAGACATTTTTATACTCAGAAGGCATAACAAAGAATCGCAAATGCCTTTTAGATGTGCAAATTATAACTCAAAAATAGACTGCTGATGTGTTTATTAAAATAGTCGATTGATTTTGTAGGCAGGTGAGACCAAATGTATTCTTAAGCGTTTGAGTAGTTATTTGCAACTTGGCAATTCATCAACAAATAATTCCAAGCCATTTCTTTATTATTAAACACCTACAAAAATGTGACCCAAATCAATCAGTAAGCACTTCACCTATTTGGCCAACAGAGTACACTTGTCTTCATTGATTTTGTCTCATTATATCATTTTGATCATTGACTCACAATAGGAAAATCAACTAATTGATGGTTAATTGAACATAGAGAAGAAATACGCATGTATGCAACATCAAGGAGCCAGGCTTGCTCCTAGGGCACGGTCCATACAAGACAAGGAAACTTCAGACAGATTCTGGAGAATGGGAATCTTCCATGAACTTTCCTGAGCTCCCCTCCCCTAATCTGCTAATGCCTGTAAATTAATCCGTTTTAACCATTTCCCTTTTACAAATTGAAAGAGGACCTAAGCTTCCCAAAGCCATTGCTGAGCCAGCATTCCACAGAGTTCTAGGGTTCTTAGGCTCAGGATTGCTTCAATATTCAGTATATATTCCTCCTCGCATGATTGAAAAATGCCTTATCTTTTACATTTATATGTCATTCAGTAAACAAAATCTCCATGAGCGTAAATAACATAACCATATTTTCACAAAGATTAAAAGAAACGTAGATTCAAAATGCTGTGTGATGTCATAAATGACCCTTTTGTCCCACGACCGGGTGAGCTGTATAGTATTCCCAACGGCCCTTTGAGTAATTTTCAAGTCAGAAAGCTGAGGCGCACCTGTGTCCTGAAGAACTGCTGGAGAAGACAGGCGGGTTGTGAGGAATCCAGAGTCCCTGCAACCCCGCTTCCCCTCTCCCCAGTTCACTCACCTCATGCCAGGAGCTAGGAACTGTGTGAGTGGCAGTAACCCAGTTGCTGGTGCTGTCGTCACTCTCTCTCAGATTCTGTGTTAGTTGGACTCTGAAGTCAGGAGCTCCAAGCAGTGATGAAAACTAGGGATGGGATATGACACGTGGCACTGTCTTTGAACTGCCAGGCTAGACACCCATCGTCAAGAGTATCTTCATTACTTTAGTCACTTAGAAATATCACTCTGACTGATGGAATTCGGGCATATTCTAAGGATTTTTTACATTGTCTCATGTTTGAGCTAGTACTAATGCCTGGGCTTCACTCACAGAAAACTGGGTCTCTGTAGACGTCTCTTGTCTAATGGCTCGGGGTTTGCATGCAATCTTGCAGTATCTGTTGCTAGAAAAGAAAAAAACAATAAATATTTTCTTTTCTCCATAAGTAAAATTCAGAGACACTTTAAGAAAAAAAATCTTACTGTAAAATCTTTATCAACAATACATTAACATGTATTAACTTGCACTCAACTATACAATGAATTTTTTAAGATTTATTTATTTATTGGAAAGTCAGATACACAGAGAGGAGGAGAGACAGAGAGGAAGAGCTTCTGTCCGATGATTCACTCCCCAAGTGAGCACAATGGCAGATGCTATGCCGATCCGAAGCCAGGATCCAGGAACCTCTTCCAGGTATCCCACACGGGTGCAGGGTCCCAAGGCTTTGGGCTGTCCTCGACTGCTTTCCCAGGCTACAAGCAGTGTGCTGGAGGGGAAGTGGAGCTGCGGGGATTAGAACCGGTGCCCATATGGGATCGCGGCGCGTTCAAGGCGAGGACTTTAGCCGCTAGGCCACGCTGCCAGGCCCTACAATGAATGTTTTATGATCAAAAACAAATGCAACAAAACGCGAATTTCAATGACCGTTCTGGATTTCAGAGGACACTAATTGACTCACTCAGACAAGGGGTAATTGATTAATGCATGGGAAATATTAGAGGCAATCAGCGTGTTATGGGGTTTATCAATAAGGGAAGTTATGTGAGGCTATGAAATCATGTTACATTAATGCTACATTAAAAATGGCACACCGAATCACAGACCTGAAGACCACACTAAAGGCCAGAGTTTTATGCCCATTGTAGATCTGCATTAAATCAACTCGACATAGAAGAGGATTTTGTCCAGTTTTGGACAAAAGCCCGTCTGTCTCACGCTTGCCTATCCATCCATCCATCCACTATTTGAGTACATTTAGTTTGCCAGGCACATAGACATGTGGTTGTGTGAATCAAGAGTGAGAGCTAAATCTTCACTATTGAAGGCCACCTTTACTAAATCACATTGTAATTCTAGCTTCTCACGGAGAAAAACAAGAGCATTTCAGCTCTAGAATTAATGTACACACTGCACAAGAGGCCAAGAAATAAAACCTCTGTCACTCAGTCCTGACGGGTTAGCACAGTGCTAGCTGTTCGGGGACTGGGGAAGAGTTCCGTGTTTCCTGCTCCCAGTCAGAAGTGCAGCTCAGACCTGAAGCTCTTCAGCACTCCTGGGGGTAACATGGGCCTTCGTGCCATACCCTCCTGGGAAGTCCACCTCCCCACCTGCTTCCTCATCTACTGTGCATACATACATACATACATACATACATACATACATACATACATACAGCATCCACCTGCAAGGGATATAAATATGTGTACGTAACCATCACAATAGCTTTGGCTTTTCTGTTTGTACCACATATCTGAAGACACACTGCAGCTTCTCCAGTTTGGGTCGTATAACTCACCATGAGGTTAAAATAGCAGCTGCCAGAGAAGCTAAGACTGAGATGAATGTTTTTGGTCTACTCATGTTCATCTCATGAGACAGTCATTTTACGTTCAACTTATATCATGTTCGCTTAAGGGGTCTGATCAGAATAGTGCTGATTTTCAGTAATAAGATTTCAGATTATGGAATGGGAGTGATGGAAAAGGTTATGCTTCTCCCCAGAACCCCCACTCTGTAGATCATGATTGTTCTGCTGTGACTACTAATGAAATGACAGACATAGAATACAGGAACAAACAGAACTAAATGATCAGCTTCAGAATGAAATGGTTGTTAGCATACCACCTTTAGAACGCAATGAAAGCATGAATTTTAAGTCTCTGATTTCAGTATGCAAACAAGATTCCTTTATATATATAGTCTGCTTTCGAATCAATCATTTACCAGAAACCTTGCTTCTATCCAAAGCAATACTAGAAAGAAGATGCACATTGTATTGCTAGCTCTTGGTATTCTTAGATCCCGTATTTACATATTCAATTATCCAAAACAAAATATTCAAGAAAAAATTCCTTACACTTCTAAGCATGTACAGTCATCTATTCTTTCTATTAGTCCATGAAAAAATACATCTTGAGTGCAGTGACTATTGTAAGTAATGTGGAGATTACTAATAAGCTATCCAAGAATGGGTAGCTTTGCGCAACACCTGAACTTGGATTTTCCATTCTTGGGAGCAGCATCCCGGAACCAATGCCACATGGACACAGAGGAACCACAGTTGACATGCTTTCCTCTCTGTCTAGCTTTCCTTCTCACCTCTTGTTTTCTGATGTCTTCTCTTTGCTCCCCTGCAGGTTGTGCGGCCCTATCAGACCATGTCCAATCCCATGAGTAAGCTCACTGTTCTCAACAGCATGCATTCTCACTTCATCCTGGCGGACAACGGGACCACTGGCAAATACGGGGCAGAGGTGAAGCTGCGGAGACAACTGGAAAAGCACATTTCACTTCAGAAGATCAACACGAGTAAGTAGGCCACTGTTCCCACCACCCTGCCTCCTTGGCAAGCCTGCTGAAAGGGGGTAACTTTAGGGTTGCCAAGCAGCACTTTGTGCAACATGACTAAGTCTCAAATAGGGACCATTACTGCTGCTGGACCAGTGGGTAGAACAAGAGGACACCACGCAGGAAAGGACAATTAGAGGCTTAAGAACAGGTGATGCAATCAGGGGACTCCAGCCCATTTACTGCATGTGAACAATTCACCAATGCAAATGAACTTTACTCTCCAAATTTTACCAATATGCTTCATGGAAAATTGTAAGGAAGAAAGGCAACACAGAACACTTACTTCTATTGAAGCTTGTTTCGTGAGGCAGAAAGAAAAGAAACTGATTTTAGATATGGTTAGGCAAATGTATGATGCAATGGGACCTTAAGCTACAGCACCCGGTACAACCATCCATGGAATTGTCATAGCACTTTTGTGTGTTCGTTGTCTCTAGACACGTATGCATCTATGTGTGTATGCATGTGTGTGGTACGGACTGACTGGTCACACTATCAGTTACTTCTGTGCTCTGTGCTGTATTGTGTGTTTTGTTTGTGAAGACACTGCCTGTTAAAAGCAGCCATCTCCCCGGATCACTAAGTGGCTGGAGTGGAAATATGATGGATCTAGGAGAAACCGCATCTACTATCCATCCCTGAAAAATTGAATTGACATTCACGAACTAACATTGAACGCTTTGTGACAGGCTCAAATGTTGTGATTCTCCTCTGCCCCATGAGGGAAACTGACCTAACGGAGTGACATCTCAGCCTGTCTTCCAGACCTTCCCTTAGGCTAGCTCAGTTCTAAGCCGTTCTCTTCTCTGGCCTTTCCTCTGCATCTGTCTCTAACAGCGCCGCCTTCCTTCCAGGACTGTAAAGGCAGACCTCGCATCACCTTCTGCCTGCTACATTCTCCTCTCGGGTCCCACCTTGTAAGAACCTCTACTGCTGTAGCAGTCAACTCTCAGCTCTTCATGGCGAAGTCTAGAGCAATGCACTCTGGCCTGAATGTGAAATAAGAACGTTGTTAGAAAACAGTGGGAGTGAGCTGGAGGCCGAAGCAGACAAGGGTAAAGAGAAAAACTCAAGGCCAAGCTCAGGAAGACAGTCCTGTCTGAGCTGAGCACAGACGGTAGAGCCCTGGGGACTGCTGGGCCAGGTAGTCAGCCACATGGGGGGAAAGACTATGTACACCATGCACCAACCACAAGGATGCGAGCGGACTGCGAGCCTAGCCAGGGCTGTGTCTGTCAGTCCTGGTACCTTCCAGGCTACCGAGAGGACACCCAGATGAACTTGTACAACTGCTGTGTCTTACCCCAAAGCTCATGCAAGTGCTGCCTGAGCTACTGGCATCAGTGCAGAGCAGAGTCCGGGGATGTAGTAGATGGTCATAGCACTCAGAATGCCAGACGAGCCCCCATTGTATAGTTGCCTTGGGCATGTCAGACACAAATCCTGTACCATGCATGAGAACAGAAGCAAAGCATATAGTGGCATAGTATTTGTGGGTACCCAGGCACAAATAGGGGAAAGCATATAGTGACACACTGTATGTGGGTACCCAGGCATGAGTAGTGCAAAGCTTGGAACCCACCTGCTGGAGGAATTATCGCAGACTGCATTTGAGGTATCATAGACATTAACAGGCTCCTATTCAGTGAACTTCCTTTACTCAGAGTTCAGCAGAGATCCTTGAAGGCACAGGAAGTTTAAAGGCACAGGGTTAGAAATTTGCCCTTGAACTAGACTGAGTGGTAGGAGATAGCACATCCACTAGTTCTTTCCCTAAACTATCAGTGGAAGGATGAGATGCTCGACTCATCTTAGTTTGTCCACTGTTTTCCAAGGATATGCCCTGGTCTCTGTTCCATACAGACCATGTGCTGCAAAGGCAGTAGATCTTTTTCCCTTACACTGTACTGAGCACCAAAGCCAAGAAGAGCAAGATCCACACAGTGTGAGGGGAGACTCCAGCTTTCTAGTGTCTAGTGCAACCTGGAGATCTCCACTCAGTTCACAGCAAAGACCAGAGCCCACCAAGCCCCCAGACATCTTCATCACACCAGATACCTGGGCCCGCTGAGCACTCAGACACCTTCCAAAGGCTGACCTCATCCTAACAGGAGACAGCAGAGGGCCACAGCCCCTTAGGGAGGTCAACCATCCTACCATCTCCTCTGGACACCCACTCTTTTTCTTGTATCATAGTTACACAGTTCCTCCTTTTACTCTCATTTCCTGCTTTCAGTGTTTAGGAAGTTGATAACTGTGGAACTTGATTTTGGTGAATGAGACACTACAGCCCAGTCACTCTGCCCACCAGCACCCCAGAAATGTGTATGCCCACTTCATTATGTCCTCATTCAGCTGCCAAGCTGTCTCACCTGGGAATCAATTGCACACTGTGGGCTCTTATGGAGAAGACTGCTTTAAACCATAAATGGCTTCATCCTCTTAAGAAAACCCCTCCTATGTAAGAATATGACCCTACCCTACTCTGGTCTTTTCTGACCAACATATATCACCAATAATAACATACTATGCCATTGACCTGAATGGCTAAAAGCAGCAAGCACAATATGCAATAAATAAACAAATGAGCAAATCCGTGATGTACAAATAGAAACATAGAAGTGCTATGTTTACACGCATGTACAGCTGTGTGCTAGGAGGATCATGTGGGTGTGGCTGTTAGGAAGGGGCCCTGTAGGTGTTGAAGCAGAGGCCTGAGTGGAATGATGGAGCTGATTCTGGAAGAGCATTCTTGCCAGAGCGAAAACAAGGACACAGGCAGAGTAGAGTGAAGAGCAAGTAAAGCATGGTGAGCCAAGAATTGTACTTGGTTCTAATGGCATTGCTAAGACTCTCTGTTAGAGGTAGAGATGTTAGGGGGCCATCGCAGTAATGTGGGTGAGACGTAGCAGGGGTTTGGATTAAGACAGTAGTATAGGTGCTGAAAAGTAGCTGCATTCTAGAATGTGGCATCTGAGTGGCCTGAGGGAGGCTTTAAAATGGCAGACATTCTGCACATTGTTTTGGAAAATGCACAAATTATGCCTGATGATAATAATGACCTTAGAACTATAACCCCTTTTCCCACATTCATTAGGCTCTGGCCAGTCTTGCTTCTTGGAAAGATGCCCCTAACTTCCTCTCTGACATGATTCTGAAGGAAATCCATTGAGTATAACATCCCAACTGTTTCAGTACCAAAGCATTTTAAATTTGTGTGGCCCACATGGAGACTGTATTTTAAGAATGCTTACTTAAACTAAGCCAGCAATGCTTTAGTAACTTTCAAAAAACACAATTCAAGAACTAGATTGCTGAGGAACTCATCCTAAATCACTCGGCAGCCATCTTTTCTGGTCTCAAGGCCTTCTCTGAGATGGTCAAAAAGCTATTTTTAAAAATACCCCATTGAAATTCTTGGAAATGAAGGTTAGAAAACTCTCCCAGCCATCTGAGTCTTTTAAGGGTCTGGTGGGGGAGAAGAATTTAACTGTCGGGAGAGGTGGGAGGCTGCTCTCGCCAGCGGGATAGGCTGAAAGCGGCAGGTGGAGTGGGAAGCTCAGACCCTCATGATCCGATCACTCCAGACAAGGGCTGGCAATCTCTTCAACCCTGCACCTGTGAAGAAAGGGTATCGTCCTACAGAGCTATCACTGCGCAAGTCAGCGTGGGCAAGAACTCCGGAAGGTGGATTTTCAGAAACTAGTTCGCTTCCTACCTTTCAGGAACACTGGTAGACTCCCTGCCATAGCTTCCAACCTGAAACCATCCAATTCCAGAAATTCATGAGGAATCTATGCGCACACAGCAGCCTATTATTCAGACATAAAAGGAGGAACTTTTTGTAGAAGCATGGATGGAGCTGCAGGGATATTATGAAAGTGAAAAAAGTCTGGCATTGACACAGAAACTACCACATGGTCTCATTCAAAACCAGCAGATCTCACAGAAACAGTGAGTGGAGTAGTAGTTACCAGACGTTGTCTTGGCAGTAGCTGGGCAGAACCGGGAGGTTGGATAATGGATGGAAAACTAGTGAGATAAGAAAATGAAATCCTGCTGTCTTTCAATATAGTACAATGCCTAAAATCTTACATCTTTCAAGATAGCCAGAAGAGAGGAGTTGGGATGCTCCAACACAGGGACGTGATCAATTTCCAAGCTGATAGAAATGCTGGTTATCGTGGTTTCATGACTGTGTGTGTGGGGGGGTCAAAATATCCCTCTGGCTTTCACGAGGACATGCAGTTATTACATAGCCTTGAACTTACTTTCAAAGTGTATCTTTACCCACAAATCACAACCTGGCAATACTTTCACTTTGAAAGGGAGAGCTACATCAGTGTACAGCAAATGTAAGGGATTAATATTTCCCCCTGGCAGAAGTTGCACACTCTGCTCTTTCTTTGCCCCCAAGTAACATCTGACATTGGCCTGTGGCCTCATCTGATGTGGCCACCTGGGCTGCTTTCTCTAAAGCAGTACATTAAAGTGTACTCCTGCTTATAAATAAACAAGTAGCAGAACTGAATGCAGGAGGCAGAAAGCATCATTGAATGTGGACACACAGAAATCTCTTGGACAGAAATAGATGTCTTCTTAGAAAGTACCTAAGCGAATACACTATTCATATATGACTGTGAACTTACACAAATGAAAATGACAATAATGTTTCCAAGGACAATCTGCCGTGCCTGTTAAATTATGCTTTATCATGGGGAAATGCCTTCTCCCACATCACCTTGGCTGTATGATTTGTGAACGCCACAACCTGAACAGTGCCTAAGGAGAAGCAAAGTGACTCCAGTGGTGGGAGGCTTTGTTTGTCAAAGCCTCCGCTCTGTGGGGTGATGTACCCCCACTGCAAAGTGCTTTGTTCTGTGAGAGTAGCTTGATCTGAACTAAGCACCCATGACTGTGTCATCTGCATCTCGGTTTATGAACCGAGGGTGATAATT